GTGACCACATCTAAACGTGCTATAATCACTATACGTGCACTCATTCTAACTAAGAGACAGTTTGAAAAAATGATATTGCTTTTAGCAACAGTGCTTAAGTCACTGACCTCTGGTTTGATACTACTGGAATCGTAATTAAGGCCTTATCACCATTAAAGTTTCGTAATAATTCAAATTAATGTTGGTTTGAGAGTTAAGTGGATGGAAAGATAAGCTTTGTTGGGGTGGGTAATATCAGACATCAATAATCCTTTTTTAACGAACTAAACGTTAGGTACACATTTTAGTTTACTTAAATAATGCAGGTTGATGGTAAAGTGGTCTAATTTTCCGTTTTGTAAGTATTTTTTCGAGACTATTATTAGGTCTTATATAAGAGCTGTATTCCCCCTATTTCGTTTAAGGCGATGTGATATGGGAAAAGTCTAGGCCTCCTTAAAATTCACATATGTTTTGTGACACAAGATCATTCGGGGAATGTGGCGTAGTAGTTAACGTGTCTTGACTATACGCTGCATCACCACAATTTAGGTTCGAGTCCCGCTTGAGGTGTTCATGAGCCCTGGGCAAGGTCGAACCTGCAGTTCACTCCAACTTTTTTGGAAGCATGGCTATATTAAAATTAAATAATAATCTGGAGCCTATTTATACAATTATGGGAATATTCAACTGCCAGTCACTTTAAACGAAATATGGGGAATATAACTCTTATATAAAGAGGTATAATCTTCGTCGAGTTTAAGAATGCTAGTTCTTAAGCTGGTTTTTTCACGCTGGTGACTGCAAGCTATCACGTGGCTACCTATTGTCTTATTCCTCATTAGGTGATATTTTTATGGAACTCTTGTTCACTTTGCCGATCAGATCGGCTCAGTAAATTTCCTTGTTTGAGGATAAGGGGTTCCAGTTCAATATTGCTATCAGCACAGAAATGTCGAATTAAGCCTCGAAGAGAGGCTAGTTTAAACCCTCCCTCGTCACCACCTAGCTGCCATTGACAATTATCCCGTACGAATGAATTTAGGTGTTACGATGAGGAAGTTGCTTATTAACTGTTTTCCTTACAAAATCGATTCATAAATTTTACTTGCTAGTTTATCGCTTCTTTTGAGTCAATCCCCAATTTTTACTTTTTTATCCTCTCTCATTCAATCTTGCGCTCATCCTTGGTAGGTACAGCAAATTTGGCGAGAAAGCTTGGCATGGTATTAAACAACGCAGTGGTCTGCGCCAAGTTAAAACGGGTCGTTTCGGTCGCAAAATCCATCCGCCTCCTCGTCTTCGTGATCGCATCCAGCCTAACGATCCAAGTTCAGAGTTGTTTTTGAGTCTGAACATGCCGGGTACTCCGGCTTTTACTCAGGTTTCAAGACAAAAACTACATTTTGAACTGAACCAACCGGACTTCCGATTCTCTCGACCTTCTCCTGCTCCAGAGCCAAACAACCTTTCGCTTGTTGATAGTCCAGCAGACTCCACCTTCGACTCCCACAGTCGCCCTAGACGTCAAGCCGCTTTCCGGTGGTGCTCCTGGGCACGAGTGCGGTAATTTGGAGGAACGAGTGCAGAGCCTACCAAAATAATGTTATATACTATCGTGGCATTGTCTGAACAAGAGGTCCTAATTCTC